CAGCTAACTCTTCAGGATCAATATTGCTTGGGATGCTAATTTTGTGAATATTGATAATATAACTACGCAAATTTGAACAGTGCTCCTGTTTGTTGCTTAAGGATTTGTTAAACTTCTGGTTTTCTATTTTCATTCTGGTTCTTAAAAATTTGGAAAGTATGATTTTTTGGCAAAATAGTTCTTGAATTTCTTGAATAGATATATAACTAATATTTTTTTCTCTACCAAGTACTGATTGAATGTATTTTGAACTTTCACTTTGGTTTTTTGCTGTTATAATATATATATATAGAAACTCTCACAGCAAAAAGATACAATGAGCCAAAAATTTTAATTTTGTAATTTTATAAAAATTAGAAGCTCATTGCACTAATTTTTCAAAAAATTGAGTTTAGAAGAATTTTTATTTTTAGCTCATTGTACTCTTTTGCTATGGGTTTCCATATATATTTGTTTATTGTTGTTTGTGAACGTATTACTAACACTTTTTATTTTAGTTCAAATGCTTCTTTCTTTCTAACAGGTGATAATCAAGTTTATTATCTAGGGTTATTCAATATTTATTTATATTTTGTTGCAAAAAATGAATTCACAGCTAGCGTATTTTATCATTTAGTCATTTGATAGTATATAGTATCATTATTGTTAGTAATAGATTTATTCATCAGTATTATTGATGTGTTATACATTGTGCTATAACATTGATAGTAATTAGGCTAGTTTTTTAATGCACTTATTATGCAATGATATTTGATTAAAATTAGAGTTAGAATAGTAATACTATAGGGTTGGTAGGTTTAGTTAATACTAATTTTTTATACTTGATGTAAATAATTTACATGATAACAATAACAATAAAAAAAAATCTTGGTTAAGAAACTTTATTATAACAATATATGAATTTTATTTTTTTATTAATATTAAATTTAAACAGTAAAACTTCGAATTAAAAATCAATTTATTAAATTTCATACATCGTGATCATTATGCTTTTTTGATCACTATTTAATCTTTATGTATGATCATTGTACTTGCTTGAGCACTATTTAACCTTTATGCATAATCATTATGCTTGCTCAATCACTTTTTACAGTAATTTTTATGCATGATTGTTATGCTTGCTTAATCATATTAATTTTTATGCATGACCATATACTTGTTTGACACTATATTATATTAATTTGATTATCATATTTTTAATAATTACTATGTGTTATATATATGCAATCATTTTATGCGATTGTTATATACTATTATATAAAGACTGTTAATATAGCAGGTGATAATAAATAAAATATAAATAAAATATATAAACAGAAAAACTGCATTTCTTAAAAAAGTATCAAATCTGAGTATTAATAAAAAGATTGTATATTCAATATCTTCATTTTCTTTTAACAACTAATCTGTTATTAAAACACTTTCCTAATTTTAAACAATAATATCCACAACTAGTATACATATACCAGCTCTGGTATAGTTGTTTTTTGATCCTTCTATTAAAGACGAATTGGGTAAAAAAGCTAGATATAAGCAATGTTTAGGAGACTATTATCTTACTGTAAATAATAGTGGTACTTCAAATTTGCGTAGTTATATTATCAATATTCACAAAATTAGCATCCCAAGCAATATTGATCCTGAAGAGTTAGCTGCTTTATTTTCTTGATTCAGTAAATATCTTCTTAGAGAAACATTGGTTAAGTAGATTGTAAAGAATAGCCTTCCATTCACTACCATAGAATTAGAAAGTTTTCATAAACTATTTAAAATAATTAGAAAGTTAGAAAATAATATTACGATTCTATCTGCAAGAACAATTAAAAGAGATCTATTAGAACATTACTTGGTGTCAAAAGCTTCATTAAAAAACATACTAGAAAATAACTCAAGTAAGATTTCACTTACTACAAATATATAGACTAATAATAGTTATAAGGCTTTTTTAAAAGTTACGGTCTACTAGCTTAATAATAACTGGGAAATTCAATACTATGTGCTTGATCTTGCGTCATTTGAAGGACTATATTTGGGAACAAATATAGCAGATAAGTTAATAAGAATTTGCAAAAAATTTGGCATTACCCATAAAATACTTAGTATAACAGTTAATAATACTTCTAATAACAATATATTTCTTAAAACATTTGAATCATATTCTATGAATATTAGTAGTTCTTTCACTAAGCGGCAAGGCTATGTTCGGTGTATCACCCATATCATTAATCTTGCTTTGTAAGATTTTTTATCTCATTTATGTTCTGAGGCACCAGATCAAGAAGACGATGACCTTAATATTTTAGACCAAGTCGATACCTCTAATACTTCTCAAGTTCCAACAATTATAAAACTTTATAAGCTTATTAAAAAATTTCAGCATTTATCTCAATATCATTAACAGTTAAGTGAAGTGTAAATCTCTTATCATACAATTTAAGAGTCTAGTTCTTGACTCAAAAACATAATGAAACTCGACCCTGGATATAATTAAATGGGCTATTAATATAGCTTTAGCAATAAATCAAATAGTTAGAGAAGTTCCTGAGTTAAGTATATTTGGTCTTAAAAGATCTGAATAAAAAATATTAAATGAAATTTCATTATTATTAAAAACCTTTTGTGATATATCTGAGGCAATATGCGGTAAAACATATATAACAATAACTCTCACTGTTCTAGTATATAATCTCATTATAGATGATCTTGAGAAATTGGAGAAAAAAGATTTGTCACCAATAATTAATAAGGCTATTAAAGCAGCATTTATAAAATTAAGATCTTATTATACCAGAAATGATAGTTCTATATACGTGATAACAACCTTATTAGATCTATGATTAAAAAAGGCATATTACAAAGTAAATAGTTGGGAGCAAGAATAGATTGACTGGGTGATTGAATGTTTAAATAAAATATATAGTAAATACGATGATAGCATAGTATCAGAGATAAATCCAGAAATTAGTAAT